GTAACAGGTTTTATTGGTGTCCAAGTACTTAGTATAGATGTACTTCGAGCATAGAGAATTCTATTTTCTTGTCGGGTTTTCTTTCCAACATCTTCGTCGTCAAACTGAACCCAAACGATGCCAGAAGGTTTAGTATTATCAGTCAATTGAACATGCTTAATGACATTACTTGCACCGTTTGTCAGACCATCATCAGTGCGTATATTCACCGCAATTTCTGTTCGTTGTCCGACAGCAATATGCAGTTTATAAGCCAACTGTTTTGAATTTTTCAAAGGAACATGTGGTATTTGTCTCATTATCTTTTCTTTCAGTTCAGCTGAACAGGCTCCAATTACGCTATCTTGTGCCCTGATTATGTATTTATCACGATCATCAAATGATTGATAAACTATATCATTGTATTCATCAACTAAAGCATTTTGAATGAATAAACGTGGGGCTTCTTTGGGGCAAGCACTCTCTTCAATACATCTTTCCTTTAGTTTTTGTAGATCACTCGGAGTATGATTACCTTCACGAAGTCGATTAAGTATCTCTGCAAAAATCTTGCTTTCTCTCTGTCGCATGATTTCATCAAGCTCAAACATTCTAAAATATTTTCTCCATAAGTTCGGGCAAGAACATCATAAGAACTTAAAGACTGAACATCTGTAAAAATGTAACCATCCATTACAGGTTTGAGTTGAAATAAGTCACCAATTGTGATTATGCTGACACCGCCGAAATCTTCTTTACTACCTTTTAAATCTTTAAACGGTTGTTCAATTGATGGTGAACATGCTGTTGCCAACCATTGATATCTCATCAAGCAATATTAACTTTAATGAACTTAGTTCGCATCTCATCGTATTCAGTCTTCCAGAATCAATGGTTTATAATTTTTCAATGACTGACTGGCTGGAATGCGCAAGGCACTGTGAATCGTGTTACCTTTTATAAGATATGCAGCTTTTCCTGTTGGAGCAAGCAATAATATATGAATACGATGAAAATCGTCCCCTGCTCGTGAATTGTAATACTTCAATGCTGCCTGGTATATCGATTTAATAAGGTGAGACTTTCCGACACCTCCACTTCCACTGAGAAATGCGTAAAATGGCTTTTCTGATGTTTTTATCAAATGCAGAGCATGATAGAAGAATTCTCTTTGCTTCTTATTTAGCAGCTGAACTAAGGTTCGATATTCGTTATCTTGCATTTCATTTAAAATCAACGGCTCATTATTTGGTAAAGAAGACGGTATGCCCAAATTTTCAGCAAGATGATCAAATGTTTCGTTTAAATCAGGATGTGTATCCACGCATCCTTCATCCTGATCATGTCGTTCAACATCTTGTGTCACAGGTGCAATGGTATCAAAAGCATCATCATCACATTCGTCTAAATGATGTCCAATTTCATTTAAGTCTTCACTACAAACAGCATATTGTTCCATTTGCTTACTGATTTCTTCATTTCGAGCTAAATAGTGCTCTTCAAAACAGGAATAATTTCCCATCAAATCGGTTTGCTCATTCCGCCAAGGAGTAAAGAGCATAATTAACTCGCGATAATGTTTTTCAGGTTGAGTCTCTTTATTGAACCAGACACTTCGGATTACTCTAGCTCGAGATCTTTTCCTTATTTTCATATTTTCAGGAGTTTTTACAACGTGAAGATTATCGTCATTTATTAACAACTCGTCGTCATTATCTTCATCATTATTTTCTAATGGAAGATTATCAACGTCAGGCTTGTTTGTTTTCCTATATGTTTTTTGACCACAAGAGTCGTACCATGCTGCCCAATCGGCCAGCGTCACATTTTGCAAACAATCAGGTCGTTCTACATATCTTTTTAAAAGACCACCAGACTGAATTTCTTCTGATTCATCAGACATTTTCTCTATTTCACTCAATGGTTTAAGTAATTCGACTCTTTCAGAAGGAGGAGATGTGTTAATGAAAATTACACTACGTGACGATTTTCGCATTGGAAGTTGCAAAACAATATACACGGCTTCTTGTGCACATATTTCAACAGAATTCAAAAATTTGTTGCCAATATCACGAACTTGCTGTTTGATATTTGTATTACCTTCTTTCGCTTCAGCACAAGCTTTACGCAGTAATTCACTCATTCCTTTTTGACCTTTGGAAATATATGATACAATATACATTGCACATGCATATACATCTAAGACATATTGAATGTCCATATTTGCTCGCCATGCCCGAAGGCAAACAGGATTGTAATTATTGATTCTTAATTCATTTGGACTTCTTTTTAAGAAGATTGTCGGAGTATTCAAAGATGATCGTATAGCAAGAATATATTGCCGTTCCGAAACACCTAACTCTTGCACTAATTCATCAAAAGTAATGTCTTTACCTTCCTTAAAATCATTTAGTTTCGTTTTAATCTCTTTCCACAATTCTTTGCTGGCTTTAGCAACAGTTGAAGAGATATCTCCATCGAGTGGATAAAGAATCTGAGTACATCTGATTGGTGGTTGTGGATAGTTGAATCTACAAATATTTTAGACTTTTTCCTGCAAGTATGAGAATGTCTGTGTGTCTGTCTATTTACAAGATCAAGTAATTCTGTATCATCTTCTGGTTTGCTGCAGGTAATTATGCTATCAATATAAGCAACAACATCTTCATCTTTATCAACACCAAACACAGGTGCATTTTCAAGCCATATCAACATATGAATATGAGGTGATCCCCGCTGTTGGTATTCAACTCTATAAAACCAATCTTTAATTTTTCCTAATGGAGCAAGCTCACTCATTAAGACATCTTTTAAGAAGGTATTGAACTGAAAATCAAAATGTCTTGAACAGGTTACTGGGTCACTTTGTATTAGTCGACACCTTTCCTCCCAATTAAGATTGTTCAATTCGTCATCACTATAATCCTTGTGATCAATAAGTTTACCAAGAATTCTTAATAAATGATTCCATTTGGTTTCTGCTGACGAGAAACTGCAAAATAATGATGCTGGTCCTAACTGACGAATCATGGCAAACAAGTCTTTTTTGGCTCGTTCAAAATAAGGTGGTGAACCCCTAAGAGTTTTCAAGAATCTGAAACCATCATCATGGTTTATTAAACTTTGTAAACCTTCTGCAGTTTTTAGGTCTCCAGCAGTAAGTGTTCTGTACCTATTTTTTTTTTCGGAGTGCAATCTGCGACTGACCAATCAAGAATTTCATTTGTAACTTCTTAGCTTTGAAGAATATATTTTCAACACACATGGCAGCTCGTCGATCAGATCTTCTTAACTCAGATTTACATATGTCACTATAGTAAACACTTCTTAACCTTTGTTTATCATCAGGTCTTTTTTGTCCAAGAAATATGCCTGGATATGACATTTCTTCAGAGTACTGATCTCTAAATATACTCAACGGCCTGTTACCTTCACCAGGAGCAACATTATAGATTTCCTGTCTCACTATCACTGACAAAGTCTGGAGGAGTCAACATACTATCAGTTACTCCAGCTGGTATTTCTGCTTCAGCCTCACTCCATTCATCTTCAGGGAGGTTTGATGTTAAATCATCTGCACCATTTGATGTCTCAATATCACTGGTCACATCCAATGACTCTTCCAGGTTTCTCAACCAATTCTGGTTTATAATAATTCCTTGATCTTGATACAAAGCACTTGTGTTAATTAACCATGCAGTTGCTTGCATTACTTTGTGAGGTCTTATTCATTGAAAGTGCAGAGCTTTTGTATTGTAATCTTCGTTTAAGTTGAACTTTAATAGTACCCATCTCATCTGATAGTCTGGGCAGCACATTAACAGTGCTGTTTACATCTGCAGGCACATTGACAACATTACCAGTAATCTTGAGTTGGCCACCTCTTGGGGCCTGAAAAATCTTTTGAAATGCCAACCGAGGAGCAATAAGTCGACATTCTAGTTCATTTAGATCAAAGAAAGAAGGTCTTTCTGGAAATTTCATGCCATTAGCAATTGCACAAGGGGGACTTTGCTTTTCTTTAAATGGTTGTTACAAGTTTGACAAAGCCATTCAATGTTATCAACACTTTTTATATTTTGTAGATACTTGGTTATATCAGGATTGACCATTCTTAGTCTGTCTGCCAGAGAAACAGAATGTTTATACCATAATTGGTCACAGCAAGTGCAAACATACAAAGGTCCTGTAGATACAGAATTATGAAAATTTCTCACAAGTGTCAATGTATCAATATCTTCACTAGGCAAGTAACAATTCTCAGCATTTGCAATATTTTGAACTGAATGTGATTCATTACTTTTCTTTCGCTTTTCAGAGCGAGTTTTTTCTAGAAGCTCTCTTTCTTTCTTTCTCTTTTGCAATTGTTGCATTCCTTTGCTCAGTAGTTTCATTTTGTTTTGTTGCTTTCTTAGCATTATTTTTTGCAAGTCTAGCTTCCTTTTCCTCTGCTGACTCATTTTGTCTTCTTATTTCACAGCATTTCTAATTTTTGCAAGTCTAGCTTCCTTTTCCTCTGCTGACTCATTTTGTCTTCTTAATTTCTCAGCATTTCTATTTTTTGCAAGTCTAGCTTCCTTTTCCTCTGCTGACTCATTTTGTCTTCTTACTTTTCAGCATTTCTATTTTTGCAAGTCTAGCTTCTTTTCTCTGCTGACTCATTTTGCCTTCTTACTTTCTTCAGCATTTCTTTTTTTTGCAAGTTAGCTTCCCTTTGCTGAGTGGACTCATCTGGTCTCACCCTTTTTCTACATGTATTACCAATTATTTGATTGTTCAATTCTTTTCTGTTAACATTATGTTGTTCAAGTAGCTGTAGTATCTGTCATATCTGTATTTGTATTATCTTCTGTAGACAATGCTAGTGTCTCTAAATCATTATTATTGATGCACTTTACGCCCTTTAACTCAAATGGCAAAACAATTTGCTTCATTGCACCTTGATGTTAACCGAAAATACTCTCCAAGATTTTCTATCCCTTCCACTGATATCAAAACACAATAATGCAATGGGATGGTCTACCATACATATCTCGTGAATGAGAATCAAACACTTTAAACACATCAGGAAAAGGCATCATGATTGCCACAGTGTTCATACCAATTGTAAGTAAACAACTTTTATAGTTTAAAGAATAAAATACTTCATTCAAAGCATGCTCAATAGTCACATATGGGAGACTATTTTCACTCAAATATAATGCTCCTGAAAAGGAATCACTGTATTGCAAATTAAAGGTATGATTATCTATGTCTACAAACTCAGGGACATCAGTTAATAATAAATAACTCTTATTTATACTTTGGCTGATAACACAATACAAACTGTTTCCACTTACTAAAATTGTGTTTAGAATTGACTTGTCCCAAATATTGACTGATTTAATTTCTTTGTAAACAATTGCATATAGTGACATGGCAACACACTGCTTACCAGCATTCACACCAAACATTAAGTCATTACCTTGATTAAAATCAGCATGGATTGTACAAGCAGGGTCAACTATATCATTTATAGTCCTAGGACCTGGATTTTCCTCCACATCATTTGAAAGTCTTAGTAATAATGGCACATAAACATTATATAGTATCATTTGAACATACCATAAGCATAATTCACTGTTTTTTTGGCTCTTATTCAATTGGCTTTTGAGATAAGGCAAGCAGAATACATTAAAGTAAAACATTAATAGTAATTGATTCCAAAGAATACCTTTAAGACGACACAGACTGTTGCGACAATCTGTAAAATTGTGATGTGAACCAATCCTGGCCCGATAAACTTCAATAGTCACACCCATATTTATGGTCTAGAACTCAGAAACCAAATGTCAATTCCAGACTTTATAAAGTGTCTTATTTGTCAGTAATTTGCCTGCAAGTCGGCAGTAATATTTGGGTATATTATAAGGTCGTCAGTATTTGTAAAAAGTGTTGTAACTGCAAGTTGGCAGCAATGTTAAATTGTTTGTTTGAGTATACCAGCACAACGGCTGTCGTTTTATATACCCGCACAATGGCTGGGTTCAATTTCAATACCTGCACAATGGCTAGGTTAGTTTCAATACCTGCACAATGGCTAGGTTTAGTTTTGATACGTGGCCTTTCACGTGAATAGTACCCTGATCTATGACGACCAGTGCGAGCAACAATGGCTCCAGTTTATTTGATTTTTGATTTGATTTTTGATATTTTGATTTGATTTTATTTGATTTTGATACGTGCACCTTCGACACGTAGAGCGCCTGACAAACCGTCAGTGCAGGCAAGTTTGCCCCGAATATATAATATGTTATATGTACGCTCCAATAATTCGATTGTGATCGAAATTCCTCGAACACGGTAGAAAAACGAGCGATAAAAATAACAAATGTCACAAAAATACACAAATTTTAAAGTACACACCTTCGCTTTAAAATTTGACAAACGTCGTCCTTCGAAAACAACGAAATTTTCCGAAAGTAGAAGAACTATAGGCAATCGTAAAACGAACGTACCGTTCGTCATCTTTCGTATATCCGACGATTGCCGAAGATGTGGCACCACACACAAACATCCGGACACTTTTTCGACTACATAGTGGTTAGCCGCGCATGCGCAGGCTACACACAAAAATTCTATCAAAATAGCGGCAATTTTTTGAGATAGATATGCAAGTTTTTTTTTTCATTTTGACGAATTATAATTTTTTTGGTTTAGTCCCTAAAAAAAATAGTTATGGACATACAATTCGACCATTTTCCATGCATCACTGGGTGTGTCCGGTTTCTAGGTAACTATGATAGCTGCAATTCATACAACTCTTTTATTCAGAATAACTTGTGGATCCTGGTTAAATTAAATGGAAGTCATAAAAATGTATAATTGAAATGTGGAAGCACTGCTTTGAAATGTAAAGAATTAAAAAGTCGCACGCTTATTTAAATGACATATATTTTTATTACATATTTTTTATTACATGACCAATCCTAGCGACCAAATATCAGCTTTTTTTAAATCATCTTGGCTTGCTTGCACAAGTCGCCGCAAGTGGATTTCTGGTGCCATATATGCTGGAGTCCCTCGAATGATTGATTCTGTCCTGGATACCAAAAGTGACTTCGTTTGTAAATCAAGAGATCGACTTAAAACTTGGGAATACTTTGTGTCATAGGCTGCTTTTGATTTATTCATAGAAAGTTATTCCAATCTTCTCATCAATTTGCTTTTAAGGAATATTTTTTTTCTATTTTATCCAAAATATTCATAGATCAAAAGCTATTGTTTTCTCAATGGCAATGTCTACTCCCATACAACCTGGAAAGCACAGGTTCTCGTTTGATCACCAAAGTTAAAACAAGCCAGGCGAAGTTAGTAACTGAATGGGTGACCTCTTGGGAATACTTCGTGTTGTAGGCTCCTTTAGGTTTGTCTATAAATTATTTGTTTAACTTTCCCCAAAAATATTCATAGATCAAAAGCTCTTGTTTTTGCCTTCGCAAGGTCTATGTCCATACCACTTGGAAAGCACAGGTTCTCGTTTGATCACCAAAGTTAAAACAAGTCGGGCGAAGTTAGTACCTGAATGGGTGACCTCTTGGGAGTACTTCGTATCATGCACGCCTTTTGATTTATTCATAGAAAACTTTTCCAATCTTCTCATCAATTTGCCCAAAACCAATATTTTTGTTTAACTTTTCCCAAAAATATTCATAGATCAAAAGTTCTTGTTTTCAAATTAGGTTCTCATCTGCTCACCAAAGTTAAAACAAGTCGGGCAAAGTTAGTACCTGAATGGGTGACCTCTTAGGAATACTTCGTGTTTTAGGCTCCTTTAGATTATCCATAGAAAATTATTGCAATGTTCTCATTAATTTGCCCAAAAGGAATTTTGTTTATTTTTCCCCCAAAAATATTCATCGATCAAAAGCTCTTGTTTTCTCAAAGGCAATGTCTACGTCCATACCACTTGGGAAGCACAGGTTCTCGTCTGATCACCAAAGTTAAAACAAGTCGGGCGAAGTTAGTACCTGTATGGGTGACCTCTTGGGAATACCTCGTGTCGAAGGCTCCTGTTGATTTATTCCTGGAAAATTATTCCAATGTTCTCATCAATTTGCCCAAAAGGAATATTTTTGTTTAACCATAAGAAAAAATTCATAGATCAAAAGCTCTTGTTTTCGCAAAGGCAATGTCTACATCCATACCACTTGGGAAGCACAGGTTCTTGTCTGATCACCAAAGTTAAAACAAGTTGGGCAAAGTTAGTACCTGTATGGGTGACCTCTTGGGAATACTTCGTGTCGTAGGCTCCTTTTGATTTATTCATAGAAAATTATTTGAATGTTCTCATCAATTTGCCCTAAAGGGAATATTTTTTAAATTTTATCCAAAAATATTCATAGATCAAAAGCTATTGTTTTCTTTAAGGCAATGTCTATGTCCATACCAGTTGGAAAGCACAGGTTTTCAAATAATCACCTAAGTTAAAACAAATCAGGCGAAGTTAGTACTTGGATGGGTAACCTCTCGGGAATACTTTGTGCCGTAGGCTCCTCCCAATTTATTCATAGAAAATTATTCCAATCTTCTCATCAATTTGCCTTACAAGAATATTTTTCTATTTTTTCCAAAAATATTCATAGTTCAAAAGCTCTTTTTTTCTTCAAGGCTTTGCCTACGTCCATACCACTTCGAATGTTCTCGTCTGCTCACCAAAGTTAAAGCAAGTGGGGCGAAGTTAGTGCTTGGATGGGTGACCTCTTAGGAATACTTCATGTCCTAGGCTCCTTTTGATTTATTCATAGAAAATTATTCCAATCTTCTCATTTGCCTTAAGGAATATTTTTCTATTTTATCCAAAAATATTCATAAATCAAAAGCTATTGTTTTCTCAATGGCAATGCCTACGTCCATACCACTTGCAATGCCCAGGTTCTTATCTGCTCACAGAAGTTAAAACAAGTTGGGCGAAGTTAGTCCTTGGATGGGTGACCTCTTGGGAATACTTCGTGTCGTAGGCTCCTTTTGATTTATTCATAGAAAACTGTTCCAACCTTCTCATCAATATTTTTTTTTATTTTATATAAAAATATTCTTAGATCAAAAGCTCTTGCCTACGTCCATACCTCTTATAAAGCCCTGGTTTTCATCGGATCACCGAAGTTAAAAGAAGTCAGACGAAGTTAGTACTTGGGTGGGTGACCTCTTAGGAATATTTCGTGTCGTAGGCCATACGAAACCATACAAAGTTTCCAAAAGGAATTTTTGTTCAACTTTCCCCAAAAATATTCATAGAGCAAAGCTCTTGTTTTCACAATGGCAATGTCTACGTCCATACCACTTGGAAAGCACAGGTTCTCCTCTGATCAAAAAAGTTAAAACAAGTTGGGCAAAGTTAGTACCTTGATGGGTGACCTCTTGGGAAAACTTTGTGTCGTAGGCTCCTGTTGATTTGTTCATAGAAAATTATTCCAATGTTCTCATCAATTAGCCCAAAAGCAATATTTTGGGTTAACTTTCCCCAAAAATATTCATAGATTAAAATTTCTTATTTTCTGAAGCAAGATATCTACGTCCATATCACTTGGAAAGCACAGATTCTCGTCGGATCACCAAAGTTAAGACAAGTTGGGCAAAATTAGTACCTGGATGGGTGACCTCTTGGGAATACTTTATGTCGTCGGCTCCTTTTGATTTATTCATAGAAAGTTATTCCAATATTCTTATAAATTTGCCCAAAAGGAATATTTTTGTTTAACTTTCCCTAAAAATATTCAAAGATCAAAAGCTCTTGTTACCTCAAAAAGGTGTCTACGTCATACCACTTGGAAAGCACTGATTCTTGTCTGATCCCCAAAGTTTAAACAAGTCAGGCGAAGTTGGTACTTCAATGGGTGACCTCTTAGGAATACTTTGTGTCGTAAGCTCCTTTTTATTTATTCATAGAAAATTATTCCAATGTTCTCATCAATTTCCCCAAAAGGAATATTTTTTTTTATTTTATACAAAAATATTCATAGATCAAAAGCTCTTGTTTTCTCAAAAGCAATGTCTATGTCCATACCACTTGGAAAGCACTGATTCTTTTCTTTTTCTGATCCCCGAAGTTTAAACAAGTCAGGCAAAGTTGGTACTTGGATAGGTGACCTCTTTGGAATACTTTGTGTCATGGCCTCCATTTGATTTATTCTTAGAAAATTATTCCAATGTTCTCTTTAATTTCCCCAAAAGGAATATTTTTTTTTGATTTTATACAAAATATTTAGCGAACAAAAGCTCTTGTTTTCTCAAAGGCAATGTCTGCGTCTATACCACTTAAAAAGCATAGGTTCTCATCTGATCACCAAAGTTAAAACAGCTCGGGCGAAGTTAGTACTTTGATGGGTGACCCCTTGGGAATATTTTGTGTCATAGGCTCTTTTTGATTTATTGATAGAAAATTATTCCAATCTTCTCATCAATTTGCCCAAAAGGAATATTTTTGTTTAACTTTCCCTAAGGATATTCATAGATTAAAATGTCTTGTTTTCTCAAACAAGATATGTGCGTCCATACCACTTGGAAACCACTCGTTTTCGTCTACTCACCGCAGTTAAAACAAGTAGGGTGAAGTTAATCCTTGGATGGGTGACCTCTTGGGAATACTTAGTGTTGTAGGCTCCTTTTGATTTATTTATAGGAAACTATTCCAATCTTCTCATCAATTTGCCCAAAAGGAATATTTTTGTTTAACTTTATCCAAAAATATTCATAGATTAAAATTTCTTGTTTTCTCAACAAGTGGTCTACATCCATACCACTTGGAAAGCACAGTTCTTGTCTGATCACCGAAGTTAAAACAAGTTGGGTGAAGTTAGTACTTGGATGGGTAACCTCTTGGGAATACTTCATGTACTAGGCTCCCTTTGATTTATTCATAGAAAATTATTCCAATCTTCTCATCAATTTGCCTTAAAGGAATTTTTTTTATTCTATCAAAAAATATTCATAGATGAAAAGCTATTGTTTCTCAAGGGCAATGCCTACGTCTATACCGCTTGCAATGCACAGGTTCTTATCTGCTCACTGAAGTTAAAACAAGATGGGCGAAGTTAGTCCTTGGATATGTGACCTCTTGGGAATACTTCGTTTCGTAGGCTCCTTTTGATTTATTCATAAAAAATTATTCCAATCTTCTCATCAATTTGCCCAAAAGGAATATTTTTGTTTAACTTTCCCCAAAAATATTCATAGATCAAAATCTCTTGTTTTCTGAAACAAGATTTCTATGCCATACCACTTGGAAACCTTTGGTTCTCATCTGCTTGCCTAAGTTAAAACAAGTCGGGCGAAGTTAGTCCTTGGATGGGTGACCTCTTGGGAATTCTTCGTGTTGTAGGCTCGTTTTGATTTATTCATAGAAAATTATTCCAATGTTCTCATCAATTTCCTAAAAGAAATATTTTTTTTCGATTTTATACAAAAATATTTTTTCAAAAAGAAATTTTAATCTGTGAATATTTTTGGGGAAAGTTAAACCAAAATATTCCTTTTGGGCAAATTGATGAGAACATTGCAATAATTTTCTATGATAAATAAAATGGAGCCTACGACACAAAGTATTCCCAAGAGGTCACCCTTCCAAGTACTAACTTTGTCCGACTGGTTTTAACTTTGGTGATCAGACGAGAACCTATGCTTTCTAAGTGGTATGGAGGTAGACATTGCCTTTGCGAAAACAAGAGCTTTTGATCTTTGAATATTTTTGGGGAAAGTTAAACAAATAATTTATAGATAAATCTAAAGGAGCCTACGACACGAAATATTCCTAAGAGGTCACCCATCCAAGTACTAACTGCGCCCGACTTGTTTTAACTTTGGTGATCAGCCGAGAACCTGTGCATTCCAAGTGGCATGGACATAGGCATTACCTTAGTGTTCTGGCCCTTCTGGCCTACACTACATTTACATATTAGTATTTCCTGTTTCTTCATTTCGCGCTAATTTACTGCTATAGCGGCTCTCATTGGCTCGCTGGGTTCTACCTGGGAGGGCCCTTCCTTCGTTTTTGCTTGTGTATTATTTACGCTTTACAAGTACACTCTTTTTACGGACAAACGTTAGTAAATAAAGATTTTAAAACTATTGCTTCGTCGTTCGTTATACGGCTGCTGAAGGGCAACACGTGTTCAACGTTGCCTGAAGGAGCAGCACAGTAAAAGAGTACAATTTGCGTGATTTGCATCGAGAAATCATAGTCGTTAGTCGTGGCATGGATGTAAACGAAGATGAAAACGCTACAAATCCGACTCCAAACATCGACCCAAACTCTCTCTCGAAGTCTGAACCTCGTCCTACCGAACCGGGGACTTCAGAAGACGTACAGGTACGAGAAAGTCGAGAATTAGCTGAAGCCTTATGGCAAAATAATGAAAATATCGAGAATATAACTCCGAACGGGACTATAAACCCACATTTAACCGATAATAACAAGAATGTCGAGACGCACAGTCGTCCTAAAAGGACAGTAAAGCCATCAAGAAAGTCCATAGAGAATAGAATCAATCGGACACGAATAAACTAGATAAACTATGGCGAAATATAACACAATCTGTATCCAAATTGCAAAACACACCCGACTCCTTGGATGAAATTAAATTCCATACCTCAGAAGTACGTTCGCGATTCCACGAAATCCAAACGGTATCTCAAGGCCTTATAGAATTCCTCTTAGCTCTAAACGACTCCAACTATCAAGAGGACTATGAAACAAATCGCAGATTATTAGAAAACCGCCAACACTATGTTCAAGCTAACATAAATGAAGCCAACGAACGTAAAACCCAACTACTCCTCGAAATCGGCTCATTCAAACGCTCACGCAGCTCTCGTGGTTCAACTATGTCTTCTACGACCGCTAGAGCACTCGCTAGAGCCGAAGCTTCGGCAGCAGTGAAAAAGGCTCAAATCCAAAAAATACGGTCAGAACGCGAGTCTCAATCTGCATTAGAACTGCAAAGGCAAGAACTCGCTTTGAATCAAAGGAAACTAGAAGAAAAGGCTAGAATGGAAACGCTACGCTTAGAAGAAGAAGCTGAAATCGCAGTGACAAAAGCTCAAGCAATAGATCAAGAACTCAATTTAGGAGAACCTGAACAAATAGATCTGCCTGAGGAAGACCCTAGCGAAAGAACCCACCGCTATGTCCACTCACAAACGGTCGAAGGACAAAACCTCCAACTTAATATGAGCAACGACACCCATCATGGCGAAAAGGAACTGCCTACCTTGAATCCATCAGCAAATGTATTTGCCCCTCAGCACCCTAGCCGTACACCAGACCCAGTGCACGACCCTATCAACCCCTACATTCAATTCATCGCTCGTCGCGAACTAATAGCAAACAAACTAAAAAAGTTTGACAACAACCCACAAAATTACTGCACTTGGCGAGAATCCTTTAAAACAATGATACGGCGTCAACATCTCTCCCAGTGAACAACTCAATCTCATAATAGAACATACAACCGGTGAATCAAATACACTTGCCCAACGTATTCGCAATGCCTACATACAAAAGCCTGCGGAAGGTGTTTCAGTTCTATGGCAGAAACTCAATCAGAGGTTTGGATCTAGTTCAGTCGTAACGCAAGTCCATTTGAAGAAACTAAGCGAATTCCCGAAAGTAGGATTCCGCTACAATAAGAAACTCCAAGAACTTGGCGATTTGCTGCTAGAACTCCAATGTGCTAAATCAGACGGCGGATGTCCGGGACTCAAGATCCTAGATGAGCCGATATACATCAAGCCAATCATCGCAAAGCTACCAGGAGACATCCAAGGGAGATGGCAAAGATACGCATACCGATACTTAAAAGAACATGCAGCAATGGACTACCCACCGTTCATAGAATTCTCCATGTTTATCCAGGAACTCTCGTTAGAAAGAAACAACCCCAACCTAATCATCGATTTGCCTGAACGTGATCCAGGCTTGAGAAGTCGATCAAGAGAGGTTATCAGCACCAAGAGAACGGAAGTGAAAACCCCACCTCGTGACCCATCCAACTGGTGTCTTGTGCATCAAAAGCCGCACCCACTACGGAAATGCAGAGCCTTTTTGGCCAAACCCCTAGCAGAGAAAACAAAGATAGTGAAGGAAAACGGTGTTTGCTTTCGATGCCTTGCCTCCTGCGAACATTGTGCCAAAGATTGCCAAACAAAGGTTACCTGTACAGAGTGCGAAAGCGACAAGCATCTGGCCACACTGCATAGCGAAGCCCATCCGAAGAACAGCGGGGAGCTCCCGCCGAAATCAAACGAAACAAAAGAAGACACCCATGAAGAAATAACCACGAAATGTACTGAACTTTGTGGTAATACTCGCGGTGGAAAGTCTTGTTCTAAGATATGTTTAGCCAACGTCTATCTACATGGGAATCCTGGACACAAGCTAAAGGCGTATGTGGTCATAGATGATCAAAGTAACAGTTCCCTCGCAAAGCCTGAACTCTTTGATGTACTAAACGTCCACGGACAGACAACCACTTACTCACTGAAAACATGTGGTGGAACCAGCGAGATCGAAGGAAGATGCACCAAAGACTTGGTCGTAGAATCCCTTGATGGAAAAACAGGATATAAAATACCTAACGTTTACGAGTGTAACGATACACCAGACTCACGAGACGAAACACCTACCCCAAAGGTGGCTGCCGCATACCCACATCTACAGCGCATCTCAAAGGAAATGCCCGACATATGTAACGATGTTAACATTCTCCTGCTTATCGGACGTAACGTTCCACCTTTGCACAAAGTCCACAAGTCTCTAAATGGTCCCAAAAACGCACCTTGGGCCCAGCTTCTTGACCTTGGATGGGTAATTGTTGGCAACGTCTGCCTGAATGGAGCCCACAAGCCCGATCTTGCCTGCTATAGATCCAACATCCTAGAAAACGGACGTCCTTCAAATTTCTTTCGTACAGCCCCAAGTCTCCACTCGGCGCGAAAGGAAGAATTCTGAAACGGCTATTTTGACGACAACATCGGCCAGAACGTATTCAACACCTCGAAAGACGACAATAAGCCAGGACAGTCCATCGAAGATCTGAAATTTGCGTCAATCATGGAAGCCCAAATGACAAAGAATGCTCAAGGAAACTGGGAAGCACCACTGCCCTTTCGAAATCCTGCGACGAAACTCCCTGACAACCGACAGGACACTCTTAAACGCTTTAACAACACCAGAAAGATGTTACAGAGAAAGCCCGACATGGAAAAACATTATCATGAATTCATGGGAAAGCTTCTTGAAAAAGGCCATGCCGAACCAGTCCCCGACGAATGCCTTAATTCCAACGCTGCACGGTGGTATCTCCCTCATTTCGGCGTGTATCACCCTCGTAAGCCAGGAAAAATCCGTGTAGTCTTTGATTCGGCCGCAGAGACTAGTGGAATTTCCCTAAACAAGATGTTGTTATCCGGCCCAGATCTCACGAACAGTCTGATAGGAATTCTCTTACGCTTTCGCACCGGTCCAGTCGCCTTCACAGTCGATATCGAACAAATGTTTCACGCGTTTTTTGTCAACGCCCGACACAGAGACTTCCTAAGATTCTTCTGGTACAAAAGAAACGACCCGTGCAAAGAAGTGATCGAATACCGTATGAAAGTGCATCTTTTTGGCAACACCTCCTCACCAGCCGTTGCCACCACTGCGCTGAGATTAACCGCACACACCGAAGAACGTAACTACGGGACGGACGCTAGGGAATTCGTGGAACGTGACTTCTACGTAGACGATGGCCTAAAGTCGACATCCAACTGTGAAGAAGCGATCAGCCTGCTAAAACGCACACAACAAATGCTCGCCACCGCTAACCTCCGCCTTCATAAAGTCTCCTCCAACAAATTTGAAGTAGCACACGCCTTTCCCGAGGAAGATCGAGCCACAGAACTGCGTAACCTCGATCTTCACCATAATAGCGTCCCAGTTCAACGCTCGCTCGGGGTATCTTGGGATCTACACAACGATGTCTTTACCTTCCAAGTCGCTGATGAGAAAAAGCCATTCACCAGAAGAGGCGTCCTATCTACTACTAACAGTCTATATGATCCTCTTGGCATCGCTGCTCCTGTGGTCATTAAGGCTAAGATGCTATTAAGAACAATGACGACAAGCCTCCAACGAAACCCACTGGACGTTTGGGACAAGCCTCTTCCGGAAGAATATCGACAACCGTGGGAAGTTTGGCGGAGGTCACTCACAGAACTGAGACAGGTTATGCTGCCAAGGAGCTACACGGCAACATCTCTCTCGGAAGCCAAGCAAATTGAAGTCCACACGTTCAGCGATGCCTCGCAAGAAGCTATTGCGGCCGTTTCCTACCTAAGAATAGTCCTGAACGACAACAAAATCGAAGTCTCCTTCTTGATCGGAAAAGCTAAACTCGCTCCGTCTCACGCAACCACGATCCCTCGTCTAGAACTCTGCGCTGCAGTACTAGCGGTCGAAATCACAGAGTTGGTCCTGGAAGAGTTGCCCATTAAGGCTTCGTCAGTAACGTATTATTCGGACAGCAAAGTAATACTGGGTTATATCCTAAACGAGACACGACGTTTCTACGTCTACGTCGCCAATAGGGTACAACGAATCAGAAAGTCTTCATCACCGCATCAATGGAGATACGTAGCGACAGATCTTAACCCAGCCACCGTTCGATCAAGGCTAGTGATCTCAGGGATTCCATATGGCTGAACGGTCCAAAATTCCTCCGAGATAGTACACCCCACCACGCTCAAGAAGAAAACAAGGAGACTCAGACACTTGCCGACGACCCGGAAGTCCGACCATCCGTAAACACCTTTGCCACCATGGCAGACCCGGAAAAAAGGAACATTTTGGGTACAACCAGATTCCTCCGATTCTCGCGTTGGACTAACCTCGTAAATGGAGTGTCACGACTGATACGACTGGCCCGAAGGTTACAACGCCATAGAAATAAAGAAGAGAGAGACGATGAAGAATCAGTAGTCGAAGCAAAGCGGTGTGCTCAATGCTTATCATCAGAAGCGTGCAAAGTGAATCATTTAAGGACGAAATCCACTGCTCGAAGAATAAGAAAATTCTCTCGAAATCGTCACAATTACGGAGCCTTAACCCAATCATAGATCCCGAGGGCATCCTGAGAGTCGGAGGACGCTTACACTACGTTGATTCGTCATACGAAGAACGTCATCCCGCTATTCTTCCTTCGAAACATCACATCTCCAGACTAATCGTTGAAAATCTCCACGAGGAGGTAAAACACCAAGGTCGACACTTCACCCACGGAATGGTCAGGGGAAAGGGATTTTGGATTGTCGGAGAAAAACGCTTGATCAATCGGGTTATCCATGAGTGCTTCACCTGCAGAAGGCTAAGAGGAAAGTTCCAACAGCAAAAGATGGCTGATCTCCCACCAGAACGCGTACACCCCTCTCCTCCATTCACCAACATCGGAATCGACGTTTTTGGACCATGGTATGTCGTAGCCCGTCGCACCAGGGGAGGACACGCTTCGAGCAAACGGTGGGCGGTGCTATTTACGTGCTTAGCAACAAGAGCCGTCCATATCGAGCCAATCGAGAGCATGGACACGTCAAGCTTTATTAAGCACTGCGGCGGTTTATGGCAATTAGGGGTCCTGTTAGACTGATACGTTCAGACCGTGGAACCAACTTCGTTGGCGCGCGCAACGAGTTCGAGGCAGCATTAAAGGAAATGGATAGGAATATCATCGAGTCCTACCTTACCTCGCAAGGTTGTACCTGGGAGTTTAACCCTCCTCACGCCTCGCACATGGGTGGAGCGTGGGAACGCATGATCGAGTCTGCAGACGCATATTGGACTCTGTACTACTGACATCCCAAATCACCCACTTAACGCACGAAGTGCTATCCACCTTTTTGGCGGAAGTCTCGGCGATCGTCAATAACAGACCACTCATACCGGTTTCCAACGACCCTGCGGCTCCGGAAATATTGACGCCAGCAGCTCTCCTAACACAGAAAACTCAACCTCTTCTGGCAGCCCCAGGTAAATTTGTTCCCCGAGACCTATATGCCAAGCAATGGCGACAAGTGCAATGTCTCGCGAATCGTTTTTGGTCTCGGTGGAAGCGGGAGTATCTTCCAACCCTGCAACGTCGACGCAAATGGGAGCACGCTCTACCAAACGTAGAAGTCGGTGATTTAGTGTTACTTCGATGCAAAGAATCTGCACGGAACGATTGGCCGATCGGATTGATCTCCAAAACGACAAAAAGCAATGATGGAAAAGTACGGAAAGTGGAAATCAGCACCGCGAAGAATGGCTCTAAACAGACCTATGAAAGGCCTGTTTCAGAAGTTGTCCTGCTCAAAAGACAAACTGAACTTGAGAATAGTTAATTTAAACGTTTAAT